TCTGATTTGTATCTTACTTATCTAAATGCCTCTTTATTTGATTCATGAAATCGAGCAATAAAATAGAGTATAAAAATAAGTGGAACATTTATGACGCTGATATTTCGAGATAGATCGGTCTTGGGAGGAGGACCTCGCAGGTATGCCAGTTTCATCCGTATCTTCATGGTTGAAGACGATTGGGGCATAGCTGATGCGGTTAATAAAACGGAGAAAGGTCAGAACAGAGTCATAACTCCTTCAGACCTGGCCTGACTCGGGTCTTGCCTCGCCTCGCCTGGCCACGCCACTGCTCTATCATTCTGATTTTTTAAACGGGTTGTATCTGATTTAGCACCGATGTTATTCATTAAAACATAATAACATGCATAAATTAATCATCGTATTAATCTTTATTCGCACACGTGTTTTACATGATGTATTTCGCCTTTGTAGCAAACTTTCGATATGCAAATTAATCGATAATCGATTTCGATCGAATTAATAGGAGCGTAATTATGTATAGTACACGAAATAGGCGTGAATATGACAGGATGAATTCCTTTCATCTCTCGTCATCTGCATAACGAAAATGAACAGATGAGCAGAGCGTGGACGTGGCAGTCGATCGAATGCCAGTTCGATTTCATAATTTGTATTTAATATCAGTCAGAAAGGTCTCGCCGTCTGCGCCCAGCAAACTTCAATTGCTTACGCATTGCGTGCCAACATCGACGCACTTCGTCGAACTCACATCTAATACTCATTACTACTTTTTTTTTTATTCTTAAGTGCGCCGAGTTTTTGTACAAATCTACTGTCTTATTAAGTCGTTTTTACAAAACCGACAGCATTCCAATTATACAAATAAATTGACATAGTCTGTCAATTATCTTTTAATAAAATCGCAACGTCTGTGACGAATGATTTCACCTTCGGTCGTGGGTTAGAAAAATTCGCACGCGTTTTACAGGCGTCAGTCGAATATTAAGAATGCGTCGAATCCTCTTACCAACATTTACCAGAGCCGGTCGATCGTTGTGCAAGGAACCGATGATTTGCTTTCACTGACTCACCTTTAACGCTGATATTACGATTACCATTACCGACTGGCATTTCTTTATAGTTATTTATCGCCTAAAATCCTCGCGAACGTGTCTCCGATCGCGTGCAATCAATTTATCAACGTTCAATTGACCCTTCTAAATGCGTGTAGTAAGAACAGGGCCATTCATCTGAAAGTGACGTGTAACGTTTGTGCAATGTCGCGTGTCTCGATGAAATGTTTTGATAAGGAATACATTTGTACAGTGTCAATGATGGAATAACTAAGTCCTCATCGATTTCGTTCAAAGATGTTTTATGTGAATTTCATTCTTATACAGTGTGGTCAATGTCAATGTTTGTGAACACTGTTTTAAACAGAGACAACTAGAGCAGTGGAATACACGACAAGCAAATTGTNCCTAATTCGATCAATTAATATAATAAATTATAATAGTGTATTACGTTTGAAAATAATTTGGATAGAAAAGTGTTCTTGCTTAATAATTTACATATTCATGGATTAGTCATATGAAAGGGCCAATGGAGGATGAATAACTAAGTGGGCAGATAGCTATGTGGCTTATGCTTATGAATATGAATAATTATATGCAATTGATGCGCAGATTGTTTTTTCTTCTTTCCCATTTTCTTTATCCATCTATCTGAATTCGTAATTGAATCCATAATCGCGTTATTGCAATCCTATTGTTTATTAATACAATTAAAAAATCAGGAATGTACGTCCGTTTCTGTTTCACATGTAAGCCTTTATANAATTATTTCTGAACATACGTTTGCAATGCTACTATTTTCAATTATGCCGATACAGTTTAACGTATTATACCGGTCCAGCATGGTGTTTATGCAAATTGGAGTGAAACTTTGTATCCTCTGAGATATCCTGAAGCTATCATTTTCGATGCATCCGTTCATTATTGTTGCAGTGCCATTTTTGTCATTTGGTTAACGACGTATGCAATTATTTTCATAGTTCAAAGGTACGGAAAGCAATTCTGACGTTCGCCCGCGGTTCAGATTCCACGCTGATGTTATTATAACAAACTGTGCGAAAGTAAAAGGGAGGGCTGAGGCACAGCTTGCTATTGACATTGTAGAGAAAGGGTAACATCGCTTTGTTACGCAAGAAAATATGCAGAATGCTATACTGTACGAATCGTAGTAATTTTACGTTTACAGTAAACACATGTAAAAATGGAATTACGATAGAATATGAGTAATGTAAAGAATGAAATCACGAAATGAATTTTCACCAAATTTTGTATTAGGCCGCTCGAAAACTAACATTACGCCTTTTTATTCTAAAAAGTTTCTAACTAGACTGCGGATTACATTTATTTATAACAAAACGTGTACATTCCGAAATTTATACAAAATTATGCAAATTAAGGTAGATACTTATTAGTCTTAGTACGTAAGTAGTCTTGGCTGGGTTCAATCACATGGCAGGTTCTAACGGATTAACATGTTATCGTCTGCGATCGGCTACGTTATCGAGGAAAACTTAATCGCGACACGACAGTTGCTCCTTTAACAATTGTAAACTGTATTGTATCTATGCGCCTCATAGATGAAGCGAAACGTAAAATTAAGTCTGACTAAATATTCCACGTGTTACCAAATGCAAGCATGAACGTTATTTAAAAAACGAGTTCTAGATTCCCAGTGAACTTCATGAACATAGTAGAACCTCCTAAATCGGATTCGTCTTTTCTCAGTTAAAATCAATTATTAGGATACAGACATTTTTTTAATAATAGCATAATTACTTTCTGGTAATGATTCTGAATATTATTCAATAGAGATCTGATGATTTGTTTGAAAAATCATTTTTTAATATCGAGATCTAAAAGTCTCTGATGGTTAGGAGACAAGAGGCTCTACTAGATTAACAATCAAGAAACGTGTTCAGTATCGTCTGTAGGGTTCCTCCTCTTCAGGGTGAGCCGCGTTGTGAGCCAAGGCGCGTTGTATCGCCACTGGGATCGGGGGTGGTGTGGGCAAATGTGCGCCGTTCGCTTGAAAACCGTTCTCGTCGGCAGTGTACGTGAGTAAAATTGGCGTACCGTCTGGAGCAGTATAACTATACTGTCCACGGACAGATTCTATTTGATTAGGCCCGGCGTACTTCGGTACACCTTGTTCGGCTACCGATATCCCATTCTCCGTGTCGTAACTGTAACAGAAATAAAAAGAAACGATAATGTCAGAGTTATCAATTTTTATATTAATTTTTAATAATAATTATATAATTATGTTTAAGAATAAACATTGAGACAGATGGGAAGATTCTGTCATAACATTTTTATCTGGTCGATAAAAATCTGGTTTCACAGGTCGGTATTTGTGATTATCGATAAAACGATGTCTAATGAGTAATTCATGCAAACACGTATGCGACTTTCGTAGACTTTGACAAGGTTTGGCTAGCACTGAACTATAGTATCGCAAGTAGGTAGCTAGGTCGGACAGTAATTATTCCATTGTGTAATGTATTATTGCCAACTGCGCAGCCGACTAACGCGAACGATTAACATCAAAGCTAATTATATCTATCATTTTCACAGCTGAATATCCTGTTGCCCTCCGTTCCCCTCTGTCCCCCCTAGTTCACGCTTACGTACGCTCGATTTTTTATTCAAGTATGCATGTTTGTTTAACGGAACAAGGTATGAAGATCCAATTAACTTCGTTTAATCAGATTGTGAATCGGACGTATGCATCTTCTCCTTTTGATACGATGACAAGTTTGATCTCAATGATTTAATCAAATTTATTAGAGTATCTAATTGACGGGACATAGTCTTGTTAAAACGAATTTGCTTTCTTGATG